AAAAGAATCAAGATTTTTTCCATAGTCTTTCAAACAATTATGCCAAACTCTTAATTATCATTTATTTTTATATTAAAAAAGCAATGCCAACAGTACAAGAACAAACAATATCAATAGTAAGTTAACATTTTGTTTTATCTTTTATTAGGTAACATTCCAAAATATACCCAATAATGGAAGATATATTCACAATGACATTGCTTCTCGTGATCAAGACTTCTAGTCTTGGCTTCATCTCTAATAATTCATCTGTACATGCACTCACATCAGCAACTAAGCTTAAGATGTTATCGCCTACTCTTACGTATTTTTCTGCTGCCAGAGCTTCGAGGATAAGATCAGTGTCATGAAGAGAATTTTCATATAATCTTACACATAAATCAATTGTATATAAATCCGTTGCATTGCCTGCAAATGACTTTATTTGATTCATTGCATCTGAAACGTTTCCATACTGATATTTGACCAGAAATTTGGTAAGGCCATAAAAATCTAAAGTTGCAATTTTAGGGGTTGATTTTAGAAGCTCATAACAAAGTGGAGAATTGAGAAATTTTTGTGTGCATATGCTGTCGATCTCGTTTTCTGTAACCATCATACTAAAGTTTCCATATGATGATGACACAAGAAAGAGAAGCAGAACAGTAGTAAGAACCGAAAAAAAGTTTTCTTTGACGTAAACAACCATTTTTTGTTTAATGTGCTTGGAAAGTTATGTTAAATTTATACAGGCTGAAATATATTCCCTTTCACATTTATATATGAAAAAGATTTTGTTTGTTTTTTTTTCCTTTTTTACTTTAGCCATAAATGCTAACATATCATAAAACAATTTGATTTGGTATTAGCAAAATCTCAAAAGATTAAAGCATTCAATGTTTTTCTTTTTCCTTTTTAAAGTTTAGGTAACTTCTAAATATTTTCTTACTTACTTGTTGTAAAAAGGTATAAAATAACACAAATTTGGAATAAGATGAATTGATTCTCACTAAAAGCTGAATCTCTCAAAAATATGAGCTGAAATGTATCTTAGTATTTGAGTGCCAACAGATTGTGTACTATAAACTGATTTGAATCAATAGCATCAATATCTCAAAAGTTAAAAGCATTTAATGTTTTTCACCTTTTTTTTATCACTTAATATTTCATAAATTTGAAATTGAATTGGGCCTAGAACGTAACCCAACCCAACCAAGAGGTTCATTACACAAATAGAAAAACATTCATAATTTAGATGACACTATGTAATCAAAGTCCTTCCTCGTAAGGAACTCCGCTAGCTTTAAGCCACGACTCTCCACTTAGAAGTTTTCCCACTGTGAATTGCTCAGCTTCTTTCGGATCTGTTATGACTTTGAATCCTTTCCACTTGACTCTGTTGATTGTATCTGCCCCTGGGCCGCTGTTTTGGTATTCTCCATAGAACAAAGTAGACAGATGTCCTTCCTTGTTGTCCCAAGGAGCCCAACCGGCTGGATCAATGAGATCATCGATGACTGACTTCATGAATACTACTGTTGCATAATCACCCCATGGTCGTCCTAAAAAAGTCTTCACTGTTCCCTTAACTGGAATGAGATCTTGAGCCGCCTTTATGTTGCACTTGTGTATAGAAAACCACGACTTGGGGTCATTAGTCATGCAATGTTGAGCGGTGATCATGTTACTTTGTCCTTGAAGTGGTTTCCGAGCTTCAATATCGCAGTTCTGGAACACAGCAGTTGCTTCTCCGCAAATGAAATCTACAGTGCCGGTTATGTAGCACTCACCATAGAAATGTCGTCCCTTGTGGGCGTATAGTGTATCTTGAAAAGCATCAATACGGCATCGGTATACGATCGCTCTATTGGCGCTAATTCGGAGAGCCACAGCCTGTCCTTTAGCTGGCCCGGCTGTGTTGGCGATGCAAATGTCCTGGGCCATAAACCCATCTGCCTCAACCGCTGCAATTTGTATAAACGAGTCTTAGTATTCCTAAAATCAGGCTTGTCCCGACCATAAGGCGGGTGTGGCGGCTGCTTTAGGCCACTTCTAAATGTTTTTATTTTTTGTGCCACATTATAATCTTAATATTAGTGTAGAGATCAAAATAATTCAACATGATTGGTAGATCAGTGTATAAGAGACTTAAATAGTTAAATTTCTGGAATTTTTTTCTTTTCTTTTTAGTGTTGAACAAATCTGTTTTATCTTTTTTAAAAAGGTTTTTGGTATTGCCTTTGTGGAAGTTAATTTTTTAAATCTATCTCTTCTATATATTTGTGTGCTATTATTATATATATATTTTTTGTTTTCTATGAAGCATTTTCATCTAACTTAATTGGTTAGATATACTTATACTTATCGTTTTTTTCTGTACATCATACTTTTATTTATCTGTTAAACCTATTATTATAGTTTTTTTTGCTAAATTATAACATATTATTATAGTTTCATATATATATATATATATTATATTGGTGTGGGGTTTCTTTTTTCTCCTATCATTATCAAATAACTGAAAACCTACAGAAAAAACAAGAATATATAATTTTGACTAGAATAAAAGTAAAAAAAAAATAAGATACTAAATTGACCAATATTTCGTAAAATGAGAAAGGTCGCTAAATGGTTAGGGATGACACTGCCTAAAATCATATTAACTTGGAAATAAAAGAAAACAATAATAATCTAGAAAAAAAAATGAAAAATTACCAAGTGTTGCCGAATCGTATGGTCCTTTACCATCAGCGTTGTTCAAACTGCCGGTGATAGTTGTTAAGTCACTTCCCTCTCCCAAGATGGTTAGATTCGTTTTATTTATCCCGATGATAACGTTTTCAAGGTAAGTGCCTCTCTTCACGAGTATAGTATACCGCGTCTTGCTATTCTCCGGAGCGGCGGTGACTGCCTCCGTCACGGTTGTAAAATTTCCACCATTCTTTGCGACAATAACGTCTACCTTACTTCCAAGCGCCTAAATAATATAACATATGAAATTCAGTGAGCGCCGGTATAATGTTATAGCAAGAACTATATAAATTCAGTTAGGAAACTCAAGGAGCAGTGTGATAAGTAAGTATGCATGCTATAAAGAACATAAGATAAATTATATAAGCAATTAAAAAACAAAGAAACGTGTTTAATCTCTCGGTTGTTGCTAATTTACTCGACAAACGTCACAATAACTAATTCACGAGGAAGAATAATTAGGGTCTTGGGCTATAAAACAATAACTACTTCCAAGCGCCTAATAATATAACATATGAAACTCAGTGAGCGCCGGGTATATATAATGTTATAACAAGAATTATATAAATTCAGTTAGGAAAGTCAAGGAGCAGTGATAAGTATACATGCTATAAAGAACATAAGAGAGATCATATAAGCGATTAAAAAACAAAGAAACGGGTTTTATCTCTCGGTTGTTGCTATTTTAATCGACAAACGTCACGATAACTAATTCACGAGGAAGAATAATTAGGGTTTTGGGGCTTATAAAACAATGGATCCGTATCATATTAGGCTTTATCTTGAGTAAGAAGTTAAATATCTATATATTTTTTTTATAATTTATAATCATGATTGCTACTAGAAGTTAAACCTAGGAATTTATAATCAATATAAACGCTAATTCAACCAGTGAAAAGTTAACACATAATTGTTTATAACCTCCATGGATACGTTCTTGGTGTGAGCTTCACGTTGACTTGAAGAGAAAGATGGCAACTGGGATGTGTCTGATGGATCTTGGAAGAGGTCCGAACCAGCGTCCCATGGTACGGCCGACCCTGAAGAAGAAGAAGGAAGATGAATCTTCAAGGGTTCTGCCCAAGCTCCAACAGGATCCGAAGACACGGCAATTGTTTTCAGATGAGAATCGACGTCACCAACAGGCTGTGAATCCCCGGCCTCAGCGAGAATGTCTTCCACAGTAGAGGCGGTTACCATAGGGCCTTCTTTGTCAGTCACCGGCGTGGCTATGTTCTTGGTGTTACCTTCACGTTGATCTGAAGGGAGAGATGGACATTGGGACGGTGGTTTCATTTTCGAAAAGATGGGAGATCGAGAGAGAAAGAGAGAGATAGCCAAAAGTGGTTTTCAGTATAGGACTGATTACTAGTTTATAAAGAGATAATTTTACGCAGTTACGGTACGTTGAATTTAGCAGTGCTTAATGGGTGGAAAGAGACATTATTCCCTCTTCTGTTTGAAATTGAATGCATAGTAAAACGGATGATACAAGTGTACTATGACAGATCGATAATTAATCATGGTTATCTAGTATTTCAATGTATTACATATTATATAAAGCAAATATTTGACCCTGATTGAATTGTATTCTAAGTGCATGGTGCGTGGTATAATTCAAATATATATTCCGAACCGGTCACATTGGATCTTGAATATTTGACATAACCATTTTCTTGTAAAAGATATGGCATTTACCATATATATTAGCATATGTACAAAAAAAAGAAGAAACAAAATTTAGTGTAAATGCTGATTGTGTATTTTGCATATGCATGCACGAATAAGAAATACACGCAACTGAAATTATCTACGATAATGTGACGGCAAATCTATTCATGCGTACGTGTACATGAACATTTACAAACAATAATTTTGTTGGTTTTTTCATGTAATCACCATTTTAATGTCATACAGTCCTAACTAATTAATCTTCTTTTTTTTAACTTTTTGATGAAGTTATGAATAGCATGTTATATCATACTTACATCATTACGATGACCAACAAAAGAAAATTATTTACCTTTACGTTTATATTTAAATAGCAGCATTTATAAAAAATGTAAGTTTTTATCGACTATAACTCCTTTTCCGCAATTTAATGTTTACTGACCGCTAGCCCCAATTCTGCTTTGGGGGGATGATGAACGTCTTTATCAAAATATGGTTTTAAGGATACAAACAGTTGTTCTCCATGTTCGAATACTTAATGCTGTAATTTATTTTTTGTTTTCCGATCGGAACAATTGCTGTATCTAAAGCACGTTGGAAGTGGTATATTTAGTCCCCATATAGATAATATTTCACTTATTTTTTAAAAAGGGTACTAACTAATATCTTAGTGGTAGCCAGTAGGCAAGTAAAATAAACAACAAACGAGAAGTAGTTTTGTTACAAACTTCATCAAAAATTTAGTGTTTGTAAAATGCCATTTTACAAAATCAACATAGTTCTTTAGTTAGATAGAACTTTGACAAAAACGATTATTTATATAATTAACTCTTGTTATGTTGTGTGTACATATATATAACATAAATAAAAGATATATAATGTTGTTGACACTTATTTGTATTATTCATTTTTGAGCGCTTATGATTTGTATGATTGTGAGACTACGTAAATGTATAGATGAACAGTGGATTTCATGTTTGGTGGTTGACCCCTTAATAAATTACTATGAAATGATGAACACATATTCTCGATTAGTTGTCGTTAGAAATTTACTATACTGTCACATAATACGCGTTGATTATTCTGACTCAGCAATACGTACGTAACTAATTCCATATGTACATGCATAGTAAAGATGGTCTTGTTAAATATTATGGTTTCCAATACATTAACTTTTTATGTCTGTCGTAAAAAAAGGTTTCTTATATCTTCCTTTTTTGAAAAATAAATTCAAATATTTCTAAGAAAAGGGAGAATCTATTATATTAAAAGAGAAGTCATGACTCACTTCATGTGTGATATTTTAGTTTGGACTATCTTTAGAGTTTTATAAAATTTTACATAACATTATAATATCTTTTCATATCTTTAATTTTTGTTTGAAATACAAATAAATAGTTTTAATAAAATTCTAACAAAATCTTTTAAAAATCTTTTAGAATCTTTTTCAAGATATAGTTTCAAAAATTATTTGATTAAAATTTTAACTATGATAAAATATAATTAAAATTTTAATTCCTTTTTAATTTATAAACAAAAAATTAAAATTATGTAAAATACTTTTAACAATATCCCAAAATTTGTTTATGTATTATGTAAGTCCAAATTAATTAATTTTTACATAGATTTCAAATTTAGAAATAAATATATATATATATATATTAGTAATCTTACATAATTAAAAATTGTTACAAAAATACAAATTTATAAATTTTATATTAATAAAATTATAAGTCATATAAAATTATTATAAAATTGGATAGCATACAGAATCAAATTATACTTATTTTTTGATAAATTTTATTATATAATTTCAAATATTTTTGTATTATTTTTTGATAAATTTTATTATATAATTTCAAATATTTTTGTATTAAAATACCCGCACGGTTGTGCGGGTCGAAATCTAGTTAAATAGTAAAACGAAAGCAAAAATGAGAGCAGAGGGTCGGTTTAATGAAATTGGATTTTCGATCCATGAAGATAAATAAATGATCAGAACGGTATGAGCCGACAAGAAGAACAGACCACTAGGTGTCCATGGTTTACTTTTGTAAATATAAAAATAATAATGAACATTTCTCTAAAGTTTAAGGAAATCATTATGCGCACATAAACAACATATCTGCTAATCAAAACAAAATGGCTGATAAACCTTTTGTCAAAAAAAAAAATGGTTGATATTGGTTGTACTTCTCAAAAGAAATTTAGACCGTGGTATTCAATATTTGTCTTTCTGGAAACTAACTCATTTTATTATAAATTTATAACTATCATTTTGACCATTATTATGTACTATAATCCTAAAATTATTTTAGGAGTCTCACACAATTTTGGCAGTGACTTAAATTGATCAAGCTCCAGCCAATAGCATCCCCGGATCTTAGAAGTTAAGTCAACAATATATGTCTTTAAAGCCATTGCAGCTTCAGACGAATCAGACTAGGAACGATAACAGTCATCATTGCTCTATATATTTAAATACCGTAGCTATCTGCATATGCTTATTAATTTTTTTTGTTTGCTAAACATGTAAATATCTTAAAAGATGAAATTGTTTGATTTACAACAGAAAATCTAAGAGCTGCATCACCTTGGCAAAAAAGAATTAAAAAAAAAACAAGATGAGCTGAGGCAAATATTAGATCAAAAGATCTTTTCAATATCTCAGTTAAAACAAACCGCTCGGTGAAAATAATACTTTTGTAACTGGCGGTGAAAATAATACTCCATTATTTGTACCATCATATGGATATTGTCCAAACTGATATTCAGTATATGTTGATTACTAGTAGTCTAGTAGTTCATAACGTAGTAGTTGCGCTACATAAATACTTAGAAGAAAAAAGTTATTTACCTTACGTGTAATATTTAAATAATAAACAAAAATACTTTGAAGAAAACTCAATTTGAGACAGCTCAATATACTCTTAGTTACTTACGAGCTAAATAACCAAACATTTTCCATGTGAAGTTAAGAGTTCTTACTTTCAAAAAAAAAAGTTAAGAGTTCTTTAGGTGGATGCAAAAAGAATAATTACTTAGCTGTTGGCTGGTAGTGAAGAACCCCTTCCCAAAAATGTCTATGGTTCTTTTTTTTTGTTATACACTCTTTCTTAAAACCGTGGGAAACCAATTAATTCAGCATGTGCTTATCTTTTCCATAGATGTCTGATCATTTCAAATGGTAAAAATCTTATCAAAATATTTTTAATAAAATGATAAATAATAGATAGTGGAAAAAGGAGAGAAAGGGAAGCATGATTTCAAATGAGGATTTGTAGGATTCAAACCATTTGTCATCTTGTACTGGATTATCTTTACAGTAAAACGAAATTAATTATCTAATAAATGCATAGTGGTCTAGATATCTAAATTGAGATATTATGTTTTTCTCCTTTCTCTCTGAAGATGCTATTTAAGATTAAAGACAAATGTAATTTTCAACTTGTTTATAAAGACATTATTATAGCTTAAGCTTTCAACCTAATTAATCTTAAGAGACTACAAATATGTGTACTGCATAATCTAACCGTTGGTTATAACTTTAAGCAAACCAATCAAATATTTGGAAAAGATAGATAAAAATACTTATTGATTATATTAATTAAACGTTACTGTTTAATTTTCATTATAGGGCATATCCTATTGATTTAATTTCTTCTTGCTATTAATTATTATTTTTTTTGAAATTAATTATTGCTATTAATTATTGCACTAACAAAGTTGTCAAACCCGTTATTCGGCTAAAACAATTCTTACCATGCTAACTACGAATCCTCATATACCATGGTTAGGACTTGGCTAGTAACATATTGGCCTACTTGAACAACTTAATGTTGATAACTACCATTTCGGATAAATAAGGGTATATTAAATAAAAGAAATCCCAATACTATGAAGTTACTGTCAAAAGTTTTGTCACCAAGGTAGTAAAATAGTATGTCTTATACAGATAAACAAATATATGACTATTCCACTATATAGTAAAGGCATACCAAAATTAGCCAAAGTCCTATTCGATGAGAAACGTTATTAAATTTGGAATTTGATTAGCAACTTTTAGCGTCATATTTTTCTTTTATTTTCTGTTACCGTTTCGGAAATTATAAATCTCAAATTTTAAAGAAATCGTATCACCACCCTCCACTATCCAAATATTCGCGTGGCAACATCTTTACCGTGAATAACGACTGCTTTAGCTGGGCTTATGAAAAATTAGTTACCAGCCAAATCACCAATAAAACTAAATTGAATTGAACCAGAGAGTCTTTTCCATTGTCAAAATCAAATCACCAAGCTCTGGTTCGGTTCTGTTAAACCATTGTCAAAATCATATCAGAAAAGCCAAAAGAAGAACATGGCAATTAGACAGAGACATACATGGATGTAAAACCCTTTTATTCAAATTCTCTGGACCACTCTAAGCTAGTCCTTTTCATTGTCTTATGTGAAATTACAATCTACGTAGTTAGAATGAACCAAACTCCATAACAACAAACAAGTAAAAAGAAAGAAAAATAAACAACGAAGAACACAAGAACATGTATTTTTCTTTCTATGTTCTCTCATCTAAGTTAAATTTGTGACTTCTATTATGATGACAACCATCCACCCTGTACGAAAAGAGACTTAGCCCAGTCCGTTCATATGGATCGAACTCATACTCTAAGCAAACAGCTTCGAACTTAATATCTTTAAGCTTATTAGTTATCGGTCCTATTAGGAATGCATCTCTACACCAAAGTTCCATGTTATGAAATCCACACTAGTGAAAAAGGCTCATCAACATAAAGCGCCACACTTTCTCCACCAAGACAGTTTTCTTCGTTAGGAGAGAGGCCCACATAGGCAAATTGAGAGATATATTGGGCTGCTTAGGCCCAACGTTAAATTTAATTTAGTCAACGTGTGACATTGTCAACACGATCAATGATGTCAACAGACAAAAGTAAGAATTAAGACAACCTCCTGTCTTAACAAGTTAAACATTAACCAAATCAGAATATTGATATATGCTTATAAAATCATTAAAAAATAAAAATAAGATTTTCGTCTTTCGTCTGTTTGTTATCCAATCGAATTCACGAAGAATGTTAACCGGTCTCGATCGCATTCTTTAGGGTCAAAGTCACCCGGTCGACTATTCAATATTAACCGCTTGCTTTTTTTCACCGGACTTGTGTGCTCTCCGGCGACCGGGGAAAAGCTGCATCACTAAGGTAGTTCCTTTTCCTCTCTTTCTTCTCTCTCTCTCTCTCTATTGAACCGGAAAAAAAGTAGGTTAACTAAGTTTGGTTGATTCTCAATTGAGGTTTTTAGTAATGGTTTTAGGATCTGTATTGGAGATTTGGCTTGTTGTTTTCTAATACCAGCCAAAGATTTGTATTATGTGATGATAATGCATCAATAAATTTTTGGGACTTTGTACTTTTTATCTTATTAGTATATATGCTATAACTTGTATACACACTGCTGGTACACAACTACTCATGGTTTTACAGCTTAGACATGTGAACTATACTTCTGTGCGTTTTGCTTCTTTTACAAAGTGTTGTATGCTACTCACTGTTAACCAAAACTGGATTTGTTTTCTGTGTAAATATTTCAGTTTTTTTTTTAATGATTCCTGAAAATTTGATACAGCGAACTTATAGCTGAGAAAGAAAGGCAAGGGATAGGGGTGATTGAAACTCTGAAGGGATTAGATGGGAAGCAGCAACAGAAGCGGAGAACAAAAGAAGCAAATGGCAGAACTTAGCAAAAACCTTAAAGAAGGTGAGAGGATCCTGGAGCCTACACGTAGACCTGATGGTACTCTCAGGAAACCCATCCGGATTCGCGCTGGACATGTTCCAGAAGATGAAGTTGTCATTTATCAATCCAAAGGTTCTTTGGTATGTAGTCTTTATTCCCTCAACACTCTCTATTCTGCTCTTGGATTCATTGTTGCTCATGTAAATGAATCGTTTTGAAATGGTCAGTGTGTTTCATTATCTGTATCTTTGCAATAGATGAAGAAGGAGATGGCCTCACAAGGACCTCCAGGTTATGAACCTGATCCAACTCCCAAACCAAAGACTAAAGCTGCTAAGAGGAACGAACGTAAGAAAGAGAAGAGATTACAGGTATGTGTCTCTCAACTCTATCCATCTGTTAACCTCTAGCTTCGTCTTCAGTTATTGGAGCATGCTTCAACATTATCTTCTCTGCAGGCTGCTGCAGAAAAAGGTAACAGCTCTGAGGATGGATCAGCTAGTAATGTTGACAAGGAAGAGACTGTTCCCATTGTGACTTCAAGCAATGAACAACAGTCTGTGAATGCATTGGTTTCTAGTTTGGATGCTTTGAAAGTTTCTTCAAATAATGATGTACCGTCTCGTACTTCAAACCTTGGTGAAGCACACAATCCAGGAACTGCAGGAGAAGACATTGAGAAAAGGATACGTGCACTCAAGAAGAAAGTAAGATAAAAGTGTCCTCTCATTTCACTACAGTATTGTCCTTGATGCGAGGGTGATGCAAACCCAAGCTGGCATTATAGCATTTTGATGTAATTGTTGACATTTACAGATCCGACTCACAGAAGCGCAACAGCAGAAGACTGCTCCCAAAGACCTAAAGCCGGAGCAACTGGAGAAGTTCTCCAAGTTGGAGGAATGGAGGCAAGAACTCAAGGCTTTGGAGGTTAAGGAAGCTTAGCTTTCTGCTGCATCTGACATGAGTTGTCTAGCTTTCAGACAGGTTGTAGCTTTTTTCATGAAATTGCTAGAACCAGTCCAAATTTGTATGACTTGTTAATGAACTTTGGCTCAGTGCCTAAGTTCTCATGGAAATTGATGACACTTTGTGTGTTGATGTTTGGTCTGCACCTAAAGCATGTACTTACAACTAGATTCATGAATCAATCAAACAGAAAAAAACATTTAGGGTATTACTGCATTAAATCTGTACATGCAGGTTCGGGTAGTTTTGTTTAACTAAAATCTCGGTTTGGAAAATCAATTGGGAAGCAGATAATGTACAGTAATTTTTTTCCGAAAGTTCTAACTGATATTGCGTTTATAGCTTAATCTGATATTAAATTAACTTTCATAAAAAGGTTGATTGAAGAATGTTACTAACATCGAGGGTTATTCCACAATTGTTTTTGATCACAACGATGTTCTCAAAATTAATGCTTTCAGAATGAGGTTAAACATTACATTAATAAGTTATTATTCAAAATGTGTATAAATTCGAAATCTGATCATTGATTTTACGCATTATAGGATTGCAAATGGAAATTTCTGAAAACATCCACGGAAGTTGGTTTTCATACATTTTTAATTTAATTTGTTTTTCTTATATAAATTTTTTACTGTTTTATTTTAGTAGTCTATTTTTTGTTTCGTTTTATCAGATATCTATAAGAAAAACGGTGAAAATAATACTTTTGCAGCTATGTTTCATTTCATATTTATTTAATAACTTATTTTATATGACTATATGCTTTTTATTATTGATTCACATGCACTATCTATTATTCAATTAAACAAATTAATACACCAGATTAAAAAATATCAAAGTCTAAGTCATCATTTATATCTTAATACTCAATTTCGATAAAACCTTTAGTTATAACATTTTGAATTTATTTGTATGGTAGTATTCATCTCATTCGGCGCATGACGCGGATCATCACCTAGTACTACATTATCAATAACATACAGTTTTTTCTATTTTTGCATTCCCTCATTTCTTTCCTTATATTTTCTTGAATGGTCCAATTAACACCTTATTCTATCCGTATATGAAGATTACACCCAAACTTTAAATGAGCCATTTGATACCCATTATGCTGATGTAGAAAGTTATGTTATAAGGTTCTACTTAAAAGAAGAAAAAAAAATCAGTAGCCTAACATCTGTCATCAAATAAAATTTACAAATGTGATATATTAACGTATTAGATAATGCAATTACAATTATATTGCAATTACAATAATAATATATGAGATTCTAAAAATATGAATCAAACTAAGCTCCCAGTCCTAAGCTCTTCTTGCTCTGGTGAACATATGGTTTGATTCGTATTTTTAGAATCTTATATATTGATTGTAGACCGGGACTGATAGTTTTCTTTACGAGGAAGTTCAAAATTTGTGCAGATAGATCACGAGGAAACTCTTTATTGTTACAGAAACTCAAATTCCCAATCCTTAAACGAAAGGTATTCCCCTTGCGAATCATAAAGAAACAATCGGGATTTAAATTGCGATGGATAATGTTAGCACCATGTAGTTTGGAGACACCACTCACAACATCCCTGATCATATCCACCAGAAGAATGGAAGGACCACCACTTGTTTCCCATAATTTTATATCTCCGAGAAGTTCTTTGAGGAAACTTCTTCTCTCCTCCGTGAGAAGCCCTGTGCTTTTGCTTGCACAGATTCTTATTAAATCTCCCAAGCTGCATGTCCAGAGTTCGAAGGAGACGTAAATGTAAGATTCAGATTTGTCGACTTCGTAGAGTTGAACAATGCTTTCGACATCATTCTCAATGCTATAGTGAATTTTCGCTTCACGGAAAGTAGCCTTATCTATTTCATCGTTGTATTGGAAGCACTTCACAACTACACGGCGTAGGTTGCATGTGCCTTCAAACAGCTCGCTTCCGTCAACTCCATTACCCATTGCTTGGTTGGTATCAATAACAGTAATCTTGTTTATACTTGGCGACATAAATATCAATGGTGATTGCATATCACTCGCGGCAGCTCTAGCTACTGCCGGGATTTTGTCATCCGCTGATTTACGTTGGTCCATCTCGCAAGTGCTGCAAAACCGAGTTCAAAAACAAGTTTAAATGACTCGGTTCTCTTTTTTTTGTCTCAACATCAACTATTTCATTCATCAATAAAATATGTATTTTTTTAATTTTTTAAAAATATACTACAAAAATGTATCCATTATTAGTTATTAAATAAAATTATGAATTAAAAAAACTATATATATATATATATAGTTTCCATATTTTTAAGAAAACATTATGATAAAAATGAGCAAAAATAATTGAAACAAAAAGGAAAATAAAATAAAAAAATCATAATAATTGCATTTTATATAATCTTTTTAATTTATTAAAGATACCATTATAATTAACCTCTTTAAGAATTAACGTGCGAACAACATGTATTAACATTTGCTGAAACATATATTAATATTTGAGTGCCAACAAATTGTGTACTATAAACTGATTTAAATCGATAACATCAATATCTCAAAGAGTTAAAGCATTCAATGTTTTTCTCTTTTTCTTTTTTTCTTGCTTTTATAATTTAGATAAAACTACTGTAATCAGAGTCCTTCCTCATAAGGAATTCCGCTAGATCTAAGCCATGACACCTTGTAGTAGTTTTCCCACTGTGAATTGCGCAGCTTCTTTCGGATCCGTTATTACTTTGAGTTCTTCTCTCACTTGACTCGCTTGATTGTATCCGCCTCAGGCAAGTTGACAGACTGAATAATTAATACTGTTGCATAATCAGTCCACGGTTGTCCTATAAATGTCTTTATTGTTCCCTTAATGGAATGAGATCTTGAGCCGTCTTTATTTTGCACTTGTGGATAGAAAACCACCAGTCTTTGGTCCCTTTATCATGCAATGTTGAGCAGTTATCATGTTGCTTTGTCCTTTGAATGGTTTTTGAGCTTCAATGCCGCAGTTCTGGAACACAGCCGTTGCTTGTCCCCAAATGGAATCTACAGCCACAGCCTATTCCTTAGCTGGCCCGGCTGTGTTCTCGATGCATATGTCCTGGGCCATAAACCCCTCTCTCTCAACGGCTGCAATTGTACAAAATATCTCCTAAGACGACGTCGTTTTGATATACGGGAAAAAGTGCCAATTTTGACCTCAACAATTTTAATCGTGCCAAATACGATCCATACAAATGGTTAGTACCAAATACGACCTCAACTCAATTATATTGAAAAAAACTACCCAAACTTTTTAAAACGTGCCTAAATCTACATTGAATTTTGACAACAATTAGTCAACCGTTAACAAGATAAAACAACATCGTTTTGATATATATATATATATATTAAATATGTGCATTCCATAACTCAAACTTGTGTCGTGATGCCCTTTTAAAAGGGCTCATTAACAATTAGACTAAAATAACCTTTTGAAATGTTATTACAAATGTTAAATTATATAAACTACTATTCTTTTTCATCTTATCCTATTTCAAATCTTGGTGATGATTGTTTTTGATTTATATAAATACATTAACATGTTTTTACTTATCATATCTTAATAAGTAAAATTTTATAAATAGCATCAAAGTTTTAAGTATATATAATATCATATAGTTATAAATAATTTATTATGTTATATTTTAATAAGATATAAGTTTATTAAAGATATAAATCAGAAACAATCATCACCAAAGTTTTAATTTGGATAAGATGAAGAAGAATAATAGTTTATATAATTTAAAATTTGTATTTCAAAAAGTTACTTGTCTAGCTGTTAGTGTGCCCTTTTAAAAGGGTACATGGGTTTGAGTCCTGAATTGAAATATTTTTAAAAGTATATATATATAAAAATAATGTCGTTTTATTTTGTTAACGGTTGACTAACTTTGATTAGAGTCAATGTAGATTTAGACATGTTTTAAAAAGTCCGAATAGTTTTTTTTTTAAATTATAATTGAGTTGAGGTTGTATTTGGCACTGATCATTTGTTGAAGTCGTATTTGATTCGATTGAAATTATTGGAATCGAATTGGCACTTTTCTTGTATATCAAAACGATATCCTTTTATCGAGTTAACGGTTGATTAACTTATGCTAAAATTAATTTAGATTTATGCACGTTTTACGAAATTTAAATAGTTTTTTAATTATAATTAAGTTGTGATTGTATTTGATATTGATAATTTGTTTGAATTGTATTCGGCACGACCGAAATTATTGGTGTCAAAATTAGCACTTTTCGGACTCTAAGGACAGTGATTCTGGTAGGAAAGAGAGGCCCACAAAGGCAAATTGAGAGGTACATTGGGCTTAGGCCCAACGCTAAGGATGATTTTAGTCAACGTGTGACATTGGCCTCGATTGGTACAGCAGATGATAAAGCAGTAGCAGTATGCTGCAGAAGCAGTATGCTACAGAAGCTGTATGCTTTCATTAAAGTTTTTAATAAAGTGATTGGCAGAGCATTAGCAGTATACGATTTTAAAATTATCATAATAGTTAGTAAAATAATATATTACTTTTAAAATAATATATATATATATATAATAAATTAATAATATATAAGTTTATTAAAAAAATGAATTTCATTATATAATTATATTTAAAATTTTAAAGTTTTTTAAAAAATATTAAATTATTTTGGATATAACATATTACTCATATATAAAATTATAGTTATAATTTATTTAATTATTATTAAATTATAATTATTATTAAATAAATAAATTAATAAATTAATTATATTTTATATATAAATTAATTATAATTTATATATAAATTATTATTATTTATTTATTGGTAGAGCACTAAATTACTCATATATAAAATTATCATAAAAGTTAATATATAATTTATTTATTAGTGTCTAAATAATATGTTTATATCGATAATATATAATTTATATTATGTTATATTAAAAATAATGAA